TTCCCAGTAGAGTCCCTTTATCTTTCCTGTGAGCTTCTGCCTGCATCCCTCAGGGTTCACGGATGCATTTGGTACAAGGCGCGTGCAAACAGCTGCGGCCCGAGCAGCGTGAGTGGTGCCTTTGTATTCTACCCATGAGTTTTCCTTTAGACTTGGTACTTGGACTCGGTACTCTGAGGGTGGCCTCTGGCCTGCAGGGTGCGGAGCAGTCCCTAAGTCTTCTCGAGGCAAGTGTGGTGCTTCATTTCCGAGAGCTTTGCGTGACAGCTCTCTTGATCAGCGTCGGCTTTGTGAGCAGTGTTGGTTGCACCAATCGCTTGTCAATTTGGAGCGCAGGACAGAAATCAAGAGGCCGCAAAAGCGCTGCGGAAGGCACTCACGTTTTGACCAAAAAAATTTTTGCGTGCCGCATCAGCGTGACACTTCTCTTGTCAGTGCTTGTGGCAACTTCCAATGTATCCTAGTCCAAGCAATTGTCATCAATGAAACAAGCCCCTATGGCAAGGTGGGCCGAAAGTTGGCTAGCGTCGAGAAAGCTATCCAGGCAGCGCAGTCTCGGAAGGCCATTCCGTGAAACCATCCCCTCACCAATCAGGGCTGCAAAGCTTGAGATGCATCTATCTCTTCCTGCAGGGCTACTCCGTGCAGTACTCTCCCCGCAGCACTGCGAGTTCTGAGGGTGCGGCGCCAGGCCCGAAACCGAACAAGTTCAGACTAGAGGGTTGTATAGGGTGTTTTGACCGAGCCAAATCGGACTTGCAACTGCTCCAGGCGAAGCACTTCGCCGATCGCTGGGCCTGGCTCTCGCAAAGCGATCACCAAGACAGCCGAAGGCGGGAACATGCGGGAAGTCGTGGGCATCCTCTTCTCTGGAAGTTCAAAAGACAAAAAAGAGGACGCTGTCCAGATTCACAGGCAGCAGGGATGTTCAAAGCTGTGCTGGGCGTGAAGTAAACACATCGATATCCCGCCGTAAGTCCCTCATAAAGAATCTACCCTCACGTGAGCTGCCCTGCTTTGCACAGGCGGAGCCAACTGTACGAATTACGCTGCCGCCTTTGGCGCTGACCTAGTGGTTTGAGTACTCTTGCCGCAGCAGCTGTCGGCGCGGTGGCGACACAGTGACTGGAGATGAACAAGGTAAAATAGGAGCAACACCATCTCCGCCATCCCCTGCACTAACGCACAGTAAACTCCGGTGAACCTACCTTGAAGACAGGACATCTTCTCACGGGCGTGTTGCTACATTCCACACGTTGCGGCTATCAGGGAAGAGTGCTTAATGACCAGTGTCTGAGAACATTTGCTACTCATGTGTTTCACTTAGCTTCTTTACCAGTACTGGTATGGTTCTGTATGGGCAAGGCCAGGCTTGCATGATTAATTGGCAATGCCACGGGATCCTTCAACTTACTTCCCTGACGGCTGGATAGAGGCCTTCCGGTCTTGATCGCGCTGGCGCGGGCCGGACAGCTACACAGAGAGTGTGATCCTCTTAGAGTTGAAGATCAACCCCTCTCAAGTTTTTCCTGCACTCGCCCTGATTAATGAAACAGCAATCCACCAGCTTGTTGTCACCAAACGCGCAAGCTTGAGAGGGAAGCGGAGGTGAGATCTCTTGTGTGCATCCTCAGAAAGTCCTGGCTTTTTGTTACGTTTATACTTCAAATGCCCTCGGGGCCTGGCAGCGTGGGAACCACTTGCCATGCAGACCCAGGGATACATCATCCCAGTGCCAAGTCTGACCTCGTGCTCATAATAATTGCCTATGGCTATCACTTCTTCACATGTTTTTTTGCTGTGGTTTGGTTGTGCCTCTTTGGCCAAGTCGTGGACAATTCCTGGCCGGGTGAAGCTCAAACGGTGCATCGGAAGTTGCTTCTGGGAGAGTGGTCATGTTCTTTGGACGGCAGAGGCTTATCACCTCGTCGGTAGTAGCGCTCAGTTGGCAATTACAGCTGAGAGCCTCAGGTAAAACTCCTAAGCAAGAAGCCCCTGCCGTGCAGAAGCGTAGCCATGCCGCCCAGCAAAATTCCCACAAACATATCTTCAAGGTGTATTATGTGACAATTAGTTGTACGCAGTTGTTGGAGGCTGTGTTAAAGGCAAAGGACAGCCTTGAACATGGCACACGACATTTCATGACTTTGCTCCTTGGTTGCTGCAGCCACGAGCAGGTAACCTTGATCAGCGAATGGCAAGCTGAAGTCCCTGCGCCAATCACGAGCTGCTACGATCTCAGCATGTGAATACGCGGCATGCCTCTTCCCAGGCATCCCGCGTGCCATGTGCTCAGCCAACAACCTTCGCGCTGTGGAGCTGTTCCAGGTCTAGAGTTGCACGACGGACTTCTGGCCATAGGCTTCAAGCAAGGCTGGGACGGTAAGCCACGGGAAGGATCTCGAATTTTGTTGTCCTAGGCTGCGATGTGAATCTCATCGACCCCTGCACGGCTACCGTTTGTTGGGTTCTGTATGGCCACGCCCTGAGGCCCTGAGCACTAGTTTGGGCAGGCAGCCCCTCCCGCCTCGCATGCCCATGTGTTGAGTGGTATGTAGCTTGGTCACAGGGCTCTGTTTCACGAGGGCCTGTTTCTCTGCATGTCAATGTAGGATGCTCATTTGACAATGTGCTGCCCATCTGTGTTCCCAGGCCACACCAACCGCGTGACAGCTCTGGCAGAATGTGCGGATGGTCGCTTTGCCTTGGCCTCGTGTGACAAGATTTGAGAAGCTAGCAGGCAACAACAGGGCCTGTGCAGCCAGGCATACATGTCAGTCATTGCTGAGTTCAGGGTTCGGGCAACATGAATGACATGACAGACGCACCCGCAAAGGTTACTGGCGGAGCTGACGGTGCTCTGACCCTCTCTGCTGACTTTGTGAGCTTGAAGTTAACAGTTAAACTCAATGTGGGTCGGCATCGAAGTCCGAAGGTGCCATCAGGTTGTGGGCGAAACGGACCTGGTCTGAGGATGCAATTTCTCAGGACCGCGTGAAGGAGCTGAACTAGATATCAATTTTAAGTCCTGCCCGGACGGGCAGCTGCATTCAGCCAGGGCTTCACTTGAAATCGAAGTATGCATGGCATGCTCAGGCACAGGCGCGGACTTAATGTTGATGTCAAGCCTTCTTGTGGTGTAGCTGTCTGCCCGACTTCAAATTTGCTGTAGGTCTTGCACATGACCCCGTTGTTACCAGTGGCGACCACGCTTTGTTTTTCTCTTCCGAAACTGCTTGGCAGCTGTTACTTGGGATTTTGTCGGGGGCTTTGAGATGGAACTCTCCTTCTTCTCAGTTTCTTCATGCTTGGCATTGTTTACGGGGCTTTTGAGAGGGATCACTACTACAAGTCGCTTCCTGTCGCTTAGATTTTTCGAGGGGCTTTTGAAAAACAACTCTCCAACAGGGCGTGTATGCGTTTTTAGATTTTGGGGCGCGTTCGAAAGAATGTCATCTATAAGTTAGCCTCTTCGAACTTAGGCTGTTGCGGTGCTTTTAAAAGAGACTTCTCCTATTACGTTTGTTGTTGTTACTTGGGATTTGTCCGGGGGCTTTTGAAAGGGACCATCCCCATACCTTTTTTTTGGTGGAGAAACCTTGAAGTCAAGTCCAAACATCGACGAGGGAGCACAAGCTTAAAGTTGGTTCTAACAACCGACTAAAAAGTTTTGTGTGAAGAAACCTTGAAATCGATCGCAAGCATTTATCATGAAGTAAGCTCAAAACTGGCTCTAAGACCGACTTAACAAGGAAAAGGCTTGCCATGGATTTCAAGTGTCAGGAAGCTTGAGCAACTGGGAAGAGAGAGTTAAACATGTTTTTAAGTCATTTGCAGGGCTTACCCCGGGAAGATGACAGAATGTCTCAGATTCCAAACTTTCTTGGTTTGCTGGAGGATCCTCTTCACCGAGCAGCCGACGCGTCTGCTGTGCTTTCCTCGGCCTTTGAGGTGACAGCTTATCTCACGGTAATGAAACAACACTCTTGAGCCTCAGGATGGTACAGACCCACCGCAACTGTCGACACAGGAGGGCAGAAAAATTGGTCCAAAATGGCTTCTTCCTTCTCACCCTTACCGCAAGGCCTGGAACGAGCTTTCCGGAGAGTGGCCTGCAAAGCCAGGGGTTTGCAGTATGGCGCGGTCCTTGTATGTGAAGTTTATTGTGGAAGATCGAAACATCATGTAAGCAAAGCTGGCGATGCTCTGAGGCCTTCTATGCTCATACTCAGCAGGCCAGTGATGAAGCTGCTGCGTTGCTGCTACGAGCTGTGTGATTCATGCCACAGCACTTCCTTGTTCCAGGCACGGCGTGGTGAGATGGCAGCACTGTTTCTGCGAGCCAGTGGCTCAAGCTGTCTTGTCTAGGATGAATTTTAGGTCTCTCGGGCCCCAAGGTTCTGGTGCAAAGTGGTAGCAATCTCATCAAGGCGGGGCCGTGTGCATGTGTCTATGGTCCTGGAGCAGCTTTCAGTAGAAGATTTGGGCTTAGCCAGGCAGAGGCATTGAAAAAGTCCCAAGTCTATGTGGCTTGTGAGGAACTCAGTCTCCCAGATCAAGGGTCAAAAGCCTGCTGCCACACAGGTAGCTGAACGCAGGCATGCAGGTCAAAACATGCGGCTAAAAAGACTCTGTTCCTTCTGATTGATTCTTCATCTCTGCAGCTGGTGGTTGGTGACTTGACTGTGCAGCTTTCTTTCAATAAGCAAGGCACTGTGCTGGACGTGGCCGATGCGTCGCAGATGTGCCAGGAAACAACAGCTCAGACACAAAGCAGCAGGACGAAGCGGCGGAATCCAATAGACTCACTAGACACTAGAACAGGCAGAGGAAAGTGGGCTTATTAATGTCTCATGTAACTCATGTATGCATGCCCATGTCGTGTAGCTCTTACTTGACCGTTTCACGCTACCCGTCCCGCATGCTTCCAGGACAGGCTCTTGGAACGAATTCCTGGCGCTGTCATATCGCAGGAGGGCATCTCCACTTTCCTGTGTATGGCCCAGCCCAAGTGGTCAGAACCGAGGAGCTGGATCGCGGGCAAGCAAGAGTGTGAGGCTCAGACACTGCAATCCATCGCGACCCACGCAATGGTCGCATCATGAGGCCTGAGGTTCCATTTGCAATTGACAGTCTGGTGTGGTAATCGAAATGATTGGCTCAATGTCATCCATGCAGTGTTTGTGGAAAATGCATATTGACAATTATTGGGCATTCATTGTTTTCACATGGAGGCGGTTCCGATGCCCGATAAACTAAGTGCCGCTCAGCAGGTGACGGAAATGCTGTTTAAGCCCTTCATGAGCTGCGACCACAAATATACCAAGTTCATTGGATTTTCCCTTCTACCTAGCCTGTGTACTGAAGCGATGACCTGGGTGCTGTGCGTCTTGCTTGCCGCACAGTTTGCCACCCAGCCGTACCTGACAAGGCAGGGCAGGAAAAAATGTAACTCCCTCATGTTGACATCCTGGGTCCGCACTATACTTTGAAAGTGCTTCAGCCGCCTCAGGAAGTTTACAAGCAATGAGCTTGTAATCAGCTGCAAGGCTGCAAGATGTGAACATGGACCAGATTTGACGAGCCTGAGATCTGCCTAGGCTCCTACGTTGCAGCCGCGGAGCTGCTGAAGCTTATCGCTTGCTTGTGCTTCCTTTTCCTGAAGGGTACCTGGGAAGCTGCCTTTAGAGGTTGGACATGGCGGCGCCTCGTCTGTAAACTCCGAGAGCACTGAGTTGCATGAGTTGCATGGGTTGAAGTTGCATGCGCTGCATGCTCAGCTGAGGAGTGGCGTCAAAGAATCCATGTGGCCTGCTATGGCTTATGCTTCTTCACTATGATTTTGGACGGTGCTTTCAACTGATTTGAGAGAAGTTTGAATTCCTTTTGGCCAAGGCTTTGCAGAACCTTGCTGGTACAGCTGCTAATAGATCGCTCGACGCGGTTACATGCAATGTCCTGAATCAGACCAAGCTGCTTTGGACGGCTGCCTTTGTGGTCTTCCGAAAACAGCGGCACTTTTCCTTCCGCGAGTGGGCTTCTTGCAACAACCAACACAGCAGCTGCATTGTTAAAAAAAGTTGTAGACGAAACGTCTGTTTGGGTTTGCGCCTGTGTGATTGCAGGTTGCCCTCGCGATGATACTTCTAGCTTCGGCGCTGACAGCTTGCGATGGCGATAGCCTTGAAGCTGAAGGGCCCTGCTGGGGTCGGTGTCATGGCATCGCATGCGCCTGCTTTGCAGCATCCTGACAGCAGGCCGATGCGCCCCAAACAAACAAAGTGAGACACACTTGTGCAGGTCTCCATTCCAGGCATAATTCTTTCTAGCTACATCACGGCGTGTGATCTCATTCCGGGCTTTCACCTAGCTGCATTCAACTTTGCAAACATTCCTCACAGCTTTTGCACAACACTCTGCAAAATGCGACTGAGACACGGCGTAAACTTGGCATTACAGGTTCGTTTTCACACCTATCATCAGGGGTGTTCATTGGCCGCGGCTCTGATAGGCCTGTGGCCGCCTACGCTTCGAACTCTTGGTAACAGAGATTGACACGTACAAACAAACAGTGCTCGAGACAAGCACCATTTGTAACCGTGAACAGAGCTGGCACCAAAGACAAAGACGTGCGGACCAACCAGGATTTCTTCTTTGTAGGCTAGGCTCAGGGCTTTCAGGATTGGGTTCAGTTGTTTTGAGGGTTTAGATTTTCAGGATTACAGTGAAGAGGCCCTGATGTAAAACGTTTAGGCTTAAAACAGACATTTAGGCCTGCGCCCAGTCAGCCTGGACGGTCATTGGGGTTTGAAGTGGTCTGTTGCCTCAAACTTGCTCACTTGGGTCTTTCAATTAATTGGGGTCAGGAATTCATGAAAAGGCGCATGCTTGACCCCTCCGATACATACCCCGACACATACCTCGATACATACCTCCAGACATACCCCGACACATACCCCCACAACGTCCCTCTCGTCAAGAGCCCAGCGCTACGAAACATACCTCGAAACATACCCCCCAAACATACCCCAATCCAAACAAGCTTTTTGGACCAAGGTTTAGTTGGAAACACACACTTGGGCTATTTTTATGCATCAGATTCGCAACTTCCTCACCTTCCTGTGTAAAACCCCTGCTTCATGAGGCTTGAGGGGCAGAGGCAATTCCAGCAGAGTTTTCTGCAATGGCTCAGCTTAGTGTGTTTCTTTCACAAGCTAAGGCAATGTGCTCTGCGTTTGGGGCTGTGTTGACTGAAGAAGCTCTGGTGAAGGGTCGGGACCCGCTTCTCGGCCGCGATCCGAGAGGCTGTGCATGTCCGAAACTACTGATGTTGCAGATTTCTGAAGGTTTCTACTCTCTGCCGAGTTGGCTGTTGGCGGCCTTGTCACGCTTCTGCTGACCATGCCCCTCCTGCAGCAGAAGGAAAACTTGGAAGAAATGCTATGGGGCTGGACATGGGCTACGTTGCTTCCGCTACTGGCACATGCTGGTGGGGGCATCCTTGTAGCATGGCTGGCAGTCCAGACTTCAAGCTAAATTCGGCCGGCATCGTTGTCGGTTTTTACTTCTCTGCTTCCCTTCCTCGGTGAACCCAAAGCATGGTTATCATCGTGAAGTTCTTCGCACGTAAGGCAATGTTGATTTCGTAGACTTTCGCAGATGTGAGAAAACAAAAAAGCCTGAGGTTGGTATCGTCACCAAGCGGCTTGGCAGTGTGAACAAGGCCATCCTCATGGTGGTGAGCCTGCTTTTGACTGGGAGTTTGAAGGAGCCAGAGCCGCAATATGCTGCAATTCCATGAGCTGCACGCGGTCTACCGCGAAAACCTACAAGGTGCTAATTGAGCGTCATCTGCCCTCGGTCACATCGATGGCATCCATTGCGCTTGCACTTCAGACGCAGAAAGCCCAGAAAGCCCAGAAAGTCCTTGCTTTCCTTGAGCTGGTGCAGGTCGCGGCCGGCCTTGCCCTGTATTGTGATCTTGGGCAATGTGTGGTGGCCTTTTTCCAGCGCGAGCGGCCCGAATCAAAAACATCCATTCGCTCTTCTGGGTTAACCTGTACCACACTGCTTGAGCTCAGGAGACCAGTCGCAGAGGTTTTGCAGCCACTGCAATTGCATTGCAGCTGGTACCGGACGCTGGGCTTGTTAGATGTTTGGAATTAAGCCACCTTGTGTCCGGGACATGCTTCGAGCTTTTCAGTGGTTGTTTGTTGCCAGACCAAGTGTGCAGCAGATGGAACAGGACCCTGCTGAGCCACCCCCAGCAGCGGATGCAGCTGAAGGTGGATTTGCCTGCAGCCAGAAACGGCCAAATCAGACTTGAATCAGACGCGCACGTCTGTTGCCACTTCCAAGAATCTGCAGGCTGATGGATTCGAGTGGGTGCGAGAGTGTCTGGGCTGACTCGGTTTGGCAGGGCTGCTTTCGTTTGTTTGTAGTTTGAGTTTGCGCTAGCGACTTCCATGGCAGCGCTGCCTTCCACAAGATGCTCTCCTCCGGCCTGATCGGGCCCGATGAATTTTGCAAATCTACGGTTCCAAAATTTTCCTGCTTCCACTTCACAAGGTACACGGCTTGACAAATCAGAGATGGGACACCCGGCGGCAGATGCGATGGCATCATAGCTGACTCCAGCAGTCTGAACTTTGTCTTCCAAGCAGCCATGCCAGAGCGTCCAGGGAACACCAGATCCACCAAGGTCGTGCCTGCTGGCTCCCATGCAAGGGGATGCTGGCCATGGCTGGCCGCAGGAGAGGTAAACATGCCCAATGCAGAGCCTTTTGTACAGAGAAATTGCTGCTAGACTGTGAGACTTGAGTAAGTTCAGATTGCTCCACTATACGGATGTTGCGAGCTTCGTGCCCACCTTCACGCTTGGAGTAGGTGCCGGCAGGTGGTCGTGGGGAAGTTCAAAGAACTTGCCTGCAGTTTCTTTGCATCGGTGTGGCAAGCAGCACTGCAGTGTAGCATTGAAAGCGATGGACATGATTGGACACTTTATGCTTGTACTATAGTAGTCTTATTGAGCTTGTGGGCTATGGCGTGCACAGCTTGCTACATCGGTCTTGTCAGCGGGAGGGTTGTCTGGAAGACAGCTACTTTATCGCCCTTAACAGCGCCTCCGGCGGAAGACCGTTTCACGGGGCCACAGCCGACGATGGTGCTGCTCAATATTGACCGTGGTGTACCTTAAGGCCTTAAGGGCTTAGATTTGAAGCTTTGAAGCGTCTTCAGCTTTCTACTCAGATAATCCCGCGTGCGCCTTGCAAATGATCATTGAAGTGGCAGCTTGCTACAGGAATGTTTCGAGCATTTGAGAACATGCCGCGATAGCGTACAGGTGCGCCAGCCTGCCATCTAAATCGTGGAGATGCTAGCGCTAGCTCATGAAAACCCGTGCGGTCATTGAGCATTGAAAGCTTGCCGGGATGTAGCAGAAAGCTGGCTGAGCAAAGTAAGCTCTCGTGCTTTCGCCGGCTGTAGATGCTCTGCGTTCAGGCTTGGCGGTAAGTCCGGCCTCAGAAAATAAGCGACCCTGCTTCATCTAACGAAGCAGGGCTAATTCCTCTTGCTGTGCTCTCGTTGCGGCTTCTCGAAGGCCTTTCTGGCCAAGCAGCCGCGCACCATGTGCTGGCAGATCTGAAAGTGGACGGCCTCGGACGCAAAAGTCTCGCTTTTTTCCCAGCAGCTGCATGGAATTCGCGCTGTGGCTTCAGCGTTCTTGCAAAACCCCAGAGAGCAGCTCAAGAAGCAAAGCAACAACGCGTGGAAGCAAAGTGCTTGAAATGCTTCTGCAATCTTCTGCACATAGCGGAAGTGGCTTGACGGGCTGGTCTTCAAGAATGACGCCCAAGCTCAGCCTAAGGCAGACGGCAATTTTAGGATCCATGTCTTCGTCTATCCTTCAAAAGCATGGCGGCAAGGGAGGAGCTTAAGTGCTTCCCCCCTGCCAGACAACGGGCCACTTCTCAGACCACCTGCTTGGAGTCATAGTTTACTGATCCCAGGCTTTTGTAGTTGCAACCTATGCAAGAGTCAAAAACATTTTCCAGGGTTCCATGGAGCCCTTTTGAGCTGGTACTGTGCTAGCAAAAAACTAGCACTGAAGGTGGTCTGAGTTTTGGTCTGTGCGCAAGGTAATTTGTTAGAATTGCGCTCATGAGACCCAGAAAAAGCTTCCAAGCGGCAGCAACCTTGTGATCAGCCCTGATTTTGTCTTGTTAGAGCACCCTCCTGAGGCTTCCGGAGTGCTCGTGGATTGACTTCGAGGTGCATGGCTGAATGCCCCACCAGACATTTTCCTAGTGCCAGATGTTCTGTCTGCAAGCCAAAGCATCGGTATGCAACTTGCTGCTTGATGATTGAAAGGTCGTGTTCAGTGCCAGCGGCCGCAAGAAGCCCGCCGCTCGGGAGTCTTGCGCGTTTCCAGCAGCTGAGGAAGTGCAAGTACAAGGGCTGGAGCCATGACGGAACATGACAGTCCAGGCCTCCACGTACGATAGCTCGCTGTTCCGTACCTCTGGAAGAGGCTGGGTGATCCAGATTTCTCTGGACTGCAGAGTGAAACCGGCAGCTCCTGATGCCACTCGTTATTTACTACAGGTACGACTGACTCAACTGGCCGGTGCATGGCTCCAAGCGTTGACCATGAGGTGGTACGACAGCTGGCAGAAGCTCCAGCCCATGAACTGCTGCCTGAGGCACGGACCGCAGCTTTCAAGAACTGATGTGCGGTGCAAATGCAGCATCGGTGGACATGCCTTGACAAAGAAGAAGTTCTCACGTAGCCCAGAGGCATCGAGCTTGAGCTGTGCTTATAGGCATTGTGTGCGCAGCTCAAGTTTGGGTCAAGCGCACGTAGCGCGACCGCACGTTGCGACCGCACGTTTGCGCGACCTAGACCTAGGCGTCATTTTGACCCAGCAGCATGTCCCGTCGCGCCGCCGATGAGCCAGCTGAGACGCCAGCCCGAAAAAGTTTCTCCGCATTGCTGCGCACATGGACCAGAAGCGTTCCTTCCACCGCTAGCAAGTCATTCAAGGACAACGGCAAGAGCAATGCAATCTGGGCTGACAAGCGCACCAATCGCTACAAGCTTAATCCAGTCCAGGGTCGTCGCCGCAAGCCGAGCTTGGGTGAGTACTTCAAGGCAGAGGATGTGCAGCGCGAAACTTCTACTTGCAGCACTGCTTGCAGCAGTGCCTGCAGCTCGACACCCCGCTTGAACATCAACACCCCAGCTACGAGTGAAGATGAGATGTACGAGCTCTCACCCGTTGCCAAGGTTGCGGACCGAGGACCACGCAAAGCTTCCACTTCATGCTGCATGGCCTTCCTGCACCTTTGAGGAGAAGCTTTTTAGTGATCTAGCAAGATTTCTTCGGGCTGGCCGAAGTGGCCTTGTTGCTTCACCGAAGTGGTGACTTGGGGCTCTTGTAGACAATCTACAACTCTTCCTCCCCGAAGTCGAGGGATGTCTAATTAAGATTGCGCACGATACCCGGGCAAGCATTTATAAAGACCGCACACTGTCCGGTATTCAGAAATTTGCGGACAATTTTCTCTGAAAAGACCGATTTTCTTAAGATGGTAGACAGAGCAGGTCAGATAATCATTACAGAGATAGAGATACCTTGTAAGAGTGTTGCCAGACACACTCTAGAGCAGGTGGCACTTGTCACCTCGCTGAGTCCGCCATTTTCCCTTTACACAGCCAGTCTGTGAGCTCTGCAGACCAGGCGGCTGCACCGGCCTGTGAAGAATGTGAAGACGAGACCAAAGACAGAGCAGCCAGGCACCTGTTTTGACCAGACTGGAACAATCTGGACGACTTTTGAGAATTCACAACGTTCCATTAGCACGGCATAGCCAACGAAATTTGATAGCCATTGTCGGCCGCCGATGTCCACAAGCTGGCGCTGGCGCTTCCATGTAAACCAAGTCCGGCAAGAATCTTGAAACCTTCCTATAAGTAGCAGCTCGCGGGCTGCAGTGCAATGCCGTGCCTCGAAAAAGATGCTCCCCTTCGCACCTGAGCGAAGCAACACAGCATGGCCTGCAAAGAGCTCTGTTTGTTAGACTCTGTCGCGAGCCAGCTAAGGCACGGAAACTCTACTCTCCCCTGGGCCAGGGGCCATACCAGGAGCTGCCTGCTGCGGAGATGCTAGTAATTGCTCGCCCAAGCCCGGACGGCGCACGTGCCAGCGCAAGACCTTGGCGTTGAGGTTGCTCGATCACTAGTATTAAATCTCTTGCAAATCTTTGTCAGATCTGCAGCGGGGCCTCTTGCCCCACTGCGAGTTGCGAAGATGCGCGAGGATCTCACAGACGCCGAGCTGTATGTCGGATTTTCTGAAGACTCAGAAGGGGTCGTGGGAGTTTTTGTAAAGCTGGTGCCTCAGGCTGGTTTTCATTGTAAATGATCTCACTTGCCGAAGGATTCACCGCCCTGTTCCTTGTGCTGGGCTGCGTTGGTTCATGTCGGATCTGACTCGTCCGTGCTGGGTGTTTTGCAGGGCTGGTGTATGCAACTCCCAAAGGCCATAGGGCCAACACTAACAGATTTGAAGTCCCTGAGCCTCGTAGTGCCTCCATACCAATTTACTCGCCGGGTCATTCAAAAGGGCATGCTGCTGGAAGCGTCTGCAGCAGGCTGAAGGCGTTGGTTGTGCCAAATATGGCGCTTGACCTTTTCAGATTTCAGATCGCCCAGCTTCAGCCAGTGAAGTGCTGTAGGCAACAGTGGAAAATAAAGTGGAGACTACTATAGTATATTGGGGTAATATGGGGATAATGGAAAAGAAAATGGAAACTGGGCATTGCCACTGGTGTAGGCCCCCCTTCCGAGAGCTGTGATTGGAAACGCGTTCTCGGAAAAGCGCTGGGTGTGAGTAGGGCAGGCCCTAAGATTCCACTTCACATTCCCGGGCCCTATTGGCCTCCTTAGACCTACTGGTCCTTCGTAGGGAATAAGGGAATATGTTACAATCATAATCCCTACACTATCCCTATACTTTCCCTATATAACATATTCATATAATCATATGATACCATATGAATATATTCCGTTATTCGTAGATTACTACCAGGGCTTCCGGGTTTCCCTTTGCAAGGTCGGTCCAAGCCTGGCCCTCACTTTTCCTCCGGGCTGCATGATGAATCAGGTTGACCGCCCACCTTGTAATAGTGACTATAATGGACAATGAGGATTATAGAAGGGTCCTTTTATGGTCCAGTAATAATACCACTGTTACAGGGGGTCCTCCTAAATGATGACTCTAGGTAGTCTGGTTTGCGGTTCGGTCAACGAATTAGAGTAGCTCAGGTTCCATCATATAAAGTATGCTAGGGTGCGGTGTCTAGCTGCTACGCTGCTAGGCGTTTCGTAGACCGCTTCCATTCTGCTATGAATGTCTTGCCTTGCTGAGGGGCTCCTTGTTCGCTTCACTCAGCCCATGTTCGTCCGTCTTTGACCCAGTATGCCAGACCCGGGCCATCTTGGGCGGTGGTCCTTGTGATGATGGATGATGGGGCACCTTTGAGGCGCGACTGTTCGGCAAAGCTGCGCTGGAGCAGTGGCGACCTTAGCCCTCAGAGCTTTCCGAACAAATTTTAGCTGTCACGGATGCGCAAAGCTGCGCTGGTCCCGTTTGTCTGTTGCAGGTGCAGAGCCTGCCAGCAAAGGTTCGAGATGTCACCGAAGCAGGGGGCTAAATTCTGAACCAAGCAAAGTCAAACTGCCACCTAAGAATAGCTCCGGCAGGAAGCTCCTATTTTGACTGCCTGGCATTGTAGGATTGTCAATACAATTTCTTGAGCCTTTTCATGGGATGGTGCCGCCTATGGCATTAGGTAAGAAGTCAGACGGTGAATCCGCAATGGAATGAGATCTTGGAATTTGAGGCTTGGCGCCACTGGCTGTTTTGGTTGTCGTAGCACCGCCAAGAAAATTGTTCATGCTGCGCAGATCCCGGTGTTTGTGGGAGACCGTCACGTTTCCCACAGCCCCGATTACCGCCACAGCCTCAGAGCCTCTCGAAAAACGCGCAGGCGAAGCAATAAATTACAGCAAGCTGAGCCAGGCCTGTACTTCCAGGTTTTCTGCAAAGAGCGGATGCCTCTCGGCTTAAGGCAGGGCCTTAGCAAAGCCCACAGCACAGCCTGCGCTTTGCTGAGGAATTCTGAGAAGCTGCTGGCAGATCTCTTCATCCCACTTGCAGATGCCATCCATGCCGATGGCGAAAAGGCAGGGGCATTTCGACCAGAAGCGCTGTTTGGAGCGTTTGAAGTCTTACAGTGGTTTGTACTGCTATGTTTTGTTGGGTTGTTTCCATTTCGGATAGGCTGCACTCGCCTTTCTTCGCACGTCGAAGGTCAAACCGTTCGAGCTCAAGCCCACTGATATGCTGCTGAATCGAGTCAGAACCTGAAATGTCCCTGGGTTCATGGGGCTTCATTAAAATAAAGAAGAAGCATGCACACTTTGTCAAGGATTTCCTTCAGATCAGAGCACTTGTGCCTTCCGCTTTGCTAGCGGACCAGATTGCAACTTCTTCTCAGGGCAAGAAGGCCAGCAAAAGCGGCAGCGCTGGGAGCTCGTCATGAGAGAATCTCACACTGATCACTTTTCAGCTTTTTAAAATTGGCATCAGTAGTGGTATACATTCCGTCCAGGCTCCGAGCAGCAGCGCTGCAAAGGCAACCGGGTATCGTAGAGACTTACATTGACAAGCAGGGTTGCGCGTTTGTAATGAAGCCAGCTTCACACAACTTGCAGACATGCGCCCGAAACCAGGAAAAGCCGAGTCTCTGTCAGAATCCCAGCATGACTTGGCGGCAGACCAAAAGCAGCGTGCTCGCGATGGAAATTACACCATGGCTAGTGTGATGATTTCAGCAGAACTACGGACATATTCTACCAGCTTGCTGCATTCCACACAAACGCTGCAGAGGTCTAGCATTTCAGGCCATCGTGCCAGGAGCTAAGATGCACCCGAACCTTTTGCGCTGAGAGCACCACAGCCAGAACTGTTGGAAATGGGCTGTGCGTTCCTGCCTTTCCTGTGCCGTCCACGTCTCATCATGTATCCATGTGCGGCTGTCTGTGTGCGGCTGTCTGTGTGTGTGTGTGTGTGTATGATGCCGGCACCAGTCGAAGCTCTTGTCAGTCAGACTGGGTGGAATTGCCAGGCCTTGCCCAAAGCAGATTCAATGCACAGTGGAGCGTGGGTGGCTGAGCCTGCTGCATGCCTGACGGAAATTAGAGCCAGAAGAGGAGGGCAGCTACTTTCTCACAGAAGCCGTTTGCCACAACCGTCAGGCCTGGACAAGGTGAAGTATTCCGGCAGGACTCCAAGTCTTGATTTGAGCACGTGCTTTCCACTTGCCAAAACTTAGCACATTTTAGCTAAGCAGATGTTGCCTGCAAGAAGTCGGAGAAAGCGAGACTTCTGCCGATTTAAGGCACAGTGGACAAGAATCTTCAAGTTCGAATGTGTTTCGTGGAGGGTGATCCGATGATGCCGCAGCCACAGCTGACCGTTGCAGAACCGACGGAGTCATTCATTAGCATGCACAACAAGCTCCTGTGCACAAGAGGGGTGGAAGTAGCAGGCAGGTGTTGTCTGTCTGTAGGGAGAACAACGTAGAACGTGCCTGACTGCACTGATGGCGACAACAACCAATTTCCTGAGCCCGGTCTTGGGTCACTGCGGTAAGAATGTTCAGACATCAACCCAGAGTTTGCGCTCTGCAACGGCCTTGATTCTCTAAATGAGGTCAAACCCAGCGGTAAAGACTTCTTGGAAGCAGCAGACGATCAAGCCAGTCGATGCCCCAGCACCGCATTTTTTAGCCGAAGCCAGCCGTTTCGACCGCGACAGACACAGGTCTGGAAGCAAAGGTGCGTTTTCGACATGCCACCGAAGCCACAGCCTTGTTGCCATGATGGGTCTTCATAGGCTCAGGAGAGGTGTATATGTATGCCCGTCTGTATGGATGTATACATGTTTCTTGGGCATGCATTTCAGGCTGCTACATTCCTTGGGCTTTGAACCACGTCCTCCTTCCGTCCGGAAGGGCTGGGTTCACGACACAAGGAGCGCTTGGCTCCTGTTGGGGTCTCCTGAATCTCTTGCACTGCCGTGCTGCAAGTGGTTTGCGGAAGCTGCCTGGCTCAAGTCTTTATACCTTACGCTTTATACCTTACGCCTAGCGATCTTCGCTTCCCCTTGCTGTCTTTCGGCTCGTAGCTCGTTTAAAGTCCGAGAAGTCACAGCTGCCTGCTCCTTCAGCAAGGTGCGGAAGCAAAGGGGCAGCCAATGAAAACTGGGAGTGCTGGCACGCCAACTCATGGGTCGGCCTGCTGCATGGGAATGACATGGTTTGAGCAGTGCTCACACAATTTTGCAAGACCTAATTCATTCCCGCACTTCTCGACTCGGATCTAGCTCTAGCTGACTTGCAACGAATTGCCATGGTGGCATGATAGCATCTGGATCGCACACATAGATGAGTCGCGTGCCGTAAGCATTGCGGATCTCTCAGATGCAGGCTGCTTGATGGCTGCGTCAAGGTGAATTCCTGATCAAACACCGTGCCTTCAGCTGCAACAGCAGTTGCATCAGTGGTGGTATTGCTTGTTGTGGTCATGGTGATTTTTTAGATGCTGAAACCACCGGTCTCAAACCTACAGACAGTGTGTGTCTGACTTGCTCACCGGAATGTAACCTTGCACTGCTATGCTAGCCATGCAAGTGGCAAAAACCTACAGAAAGGTCCTGCGACAACTGGCACTATGCCGGGATGAAGAGCTCCCCACAGCAGACCATGCACTGCCTCAAGGCTCTGGTAAAGGGCCACCAACAGTGTATGTGTTCTTGCGCTGTTTTAGTGAGCCATGACACTCGTAAACACTCACACCTGCTGCAAGTTGACGTGGGCATGCTTTTGTTTCAGTTCTTTGCCGTCAGCTCAAGAGTGCTCAAGATGCCCAGGCTGTCCCCCATAAACATTTTGCACAGGTACTCAAGAGATGCAGGATGTTACTTGGCAGCTGCATGTAGCTGCAGACAGGCATTGCAACACTCTATTATGCTTCTTATGCGCTTCTTGTTGCACTCTGCGCTATGCGCTTCCGGGTTGCGCGCCTGGCGCTGGTGCTGACCCTCCTAGCGATTCTTGGCTCGAACTAAGCAGACTGGGCAAAGGCAGGCAAAGATCGCCTTACCCCCCACCCAGTTTGGAGATCCATTTTTCAGAGCAACGATCAAACGCAAAGCCATGCCCAATTTGTTTCAGTTCTCAGCCTGAGGTTTCTAACGCGACAGAACTGCAGTGGAAGTGCCATGGCTTTGACACTAGAAAGCGCAATCAGATGGGCTGTGTGCAGTGGTTCAGCTTGCACAAGCTATGCACAGCTTGCACATTGGCTCTACCTCCCTGCTGATGAAGGTGGCACTCCTGGACGGTGCCGCGTAGCACAAGAATGGATTCCTCAAAGGCGCTTTCTGAAATCTTGCAGTTGTTCCCTCGAACCTATAGTAGTTTCCATTTTATTTTCCATTATCCCAATATAGCTCCAATATATACCCAATATAACGCTCAAAATGTTGGCCGCTTTGCTTCCGATGATAGATGCTGCCAGCACAAGCCCGAAGGATGGAAGTGATCAGCGGGACAGCAATGACCGCAATGCCCCTTGCACACGCAGCAGGTGAACATTTTTTTTTGGGGGGGGGGGGAGGTTTTGCTGTGCTACCTGGGCCGAAATTATCCATCCATTCATGCCAAGGTCCTTATGGCTAGATTCTGCTGCACCAACCCAAGACAAAAAGGCCTGAAGCTCTCAGCAAAACACGCACGGAATCCGATTTTCCATTTGCGAGCTTTTGGCATCCTGCCTTTACCATCAGCAGCAACTGCACGTACTGAATTGACAAATGCTTTTTAGAGTGATATATCCTTCCGGAGTTCTTGCAGCAAATGCACCAATGCTGCCACAGACGCTTTGTTGGGCAGATCGAGCGCCAAGCCACAGCAGCGTTTGAAGCAATCTTTTTGCAGCAAAGGACGCTTCCGATTGGTCCACTGTGCCCGTTTCGCTCGCAGTTTTGGTCGGCGGAAGCAGTCAACAACTACGCCGCTGAAATGCCAATCAAGCAGCTTTGCTGCACCTGCGAGACTGTTAGAATTGCAGCGCGTGCTGCAGCAGATCCAGGAAACGCAGAACCCTCCGGAGTGTTGCAGTAGCCGCAGTAGCTGAGGCAGCGACGTCTCACGGAGCTCATGTCGAAGATGCAGCTTGGAACGCCGCTGACCCCAGAGGCCAGGTCTTCGCAGTGAGAAGAGAGACGGGGCATAGGACAAGTGCACTACGTTTGTGATCTTGTTGAAGCCCAGAGGAGAAGACGGAGATGTGCTGCTTGGCGCAGGGGGCTTTAGTGGCAGCATGTTCAGGAGTTGTGGTTATCTTCTGCTGCCCCCTTGCAGTGAGAGCCCCAGCCTCCACATCTCAGAAAAAACAGGTCGAGACATGCGGGAGACCAATGACATGTGGTTGGCCACAAATTTCCGCCTGCGACGGGCCAATGACTTTCAAGCTCTGGAAACCTTTGCCCTCACCGAGGCGACATGCATTCACCACGATGCAATGCGAAGTGCAGTTGTGGGGTGCGCAGTCCCATTGCTTTCCAGCTTTCAGGTCAAGATGCAAAAAGGTGGGCTGAGCATGGATGCTATCGAGGTGTGGCCAAGCACACAAAAGCCACCCAATCCCCTGGCTCAGCCTGCAAGGCGCTCATGAAGTGGCAGCCAGAGCAAATGGCTGCCATGCTGGAAGGCCGGCCACCTCCTCCACTTCCTGCGGGGTTGAAGCTGGGCATGATAACATCCAAAGCAGTTCAAGTAGTCGCAACATGTGCTGCCAATGCAGCATGCTGGCTCTAGAGATCTTTGGAGTTTGGACCGAGTGACCGCAACTGCCCATGAGCGCACGGATCCCTGACCCAAGTGAAAGTCTTAGTGACTGTGCTGCTCATAGCTGGGGCACAAGTGCCAGCCACAGTGATAGTAGCATTTTTGCGGGCACGATTATCCGCAGTAGCTTGACTCGCTGCAGAGAGTAGGATTCAGAAACCACATTCCCCAATTCAATGAGCAGCCCGATTCTGAAAAATCTGGAACCCTCCTCCACCCTCTTCGACAAAAGCCTTGAGTCTAGCAGAAGGGGATGTGGTTGAGCAGCACTAGCATCAAATCCAGAATCAGGAATCATAATCCTACGTGCTACCATCATAAGCAGCATCATCATCACCATATCATCGCCGCCGCCGCCGCCACCGCCGTCGCCGTCGCCGTCGCCGTCGCCGCCGCCGCCGCCGCCACCACCACCACCACCACCACCACAACCACCACCATCATCATCACCATCTTCCCGCAAAGCAGGAGAATCAAGAGCTGCGGCAGGAAAGTAGGGCGTCGCAGGGGATGCAGGCGTAGACTCACTCGTTGGGCAGTACTTTGGCACAGTGGGTGTACACAGGCTGGGGACACGTCCTGAGGTGGTTTGTTCGGTGTGGGGCACCGATGCGGAGCCTGTTCCAAAGATGCCAGCAGTTCCTTCAACCCAGAGGGCTGTAAAAAGAATCCTGCAAGGCTGAAATGAAGCGGGGTCACTAAAGGTCAAGAGCAGCTCACCTCTTTACAAAAGCTGGGTTTGTGTGGAACAGAGCTTCAGATGAGGACCCCGGTTGCCATACAGCTGCTTGGCTGTGAAGTGCTGCTAGCTGCTGCAAGCTGGGCATGAGCTGTAGCATTGCAACGATTAGCCATACTGGGCTTGAAAGTCTGCGGTGCATGCGATTAGGTTTTGATTTTTTGCCCAAGAGGCAGATGACCCAGTCTTTGCCATCCGCTGGGCACTCAGTCCGATGGGTCATCAGGCCTACGTCGCCTATGTGTTTGCACCTTGAGATTGCAGAGACCTTCAAAGGCGGCATGAAAGGAGCTTGAAAGCCCTGTGGACTGGCAGAGTGGCTTTAAAGGGGGTTCACGCGGGGGGTTACCTTTCGAGAAGCAGTGTAGTAGCATGAGCTGAAGTAGAGATTATTTGAAGATAGTCCAGCTGTGTAAATTCCTGAGGCTGGAAGGGTCTCCAAGAAAGATTCCTGGGACTACGGAACTTTCAAGAAGCACCACCGCCGCACCACCCCCACCCCCCAACCCCCACACCCTCACCCACCCCACCGTCACCGCCCTCGGCGCTGCGAAGAGTACAATTGCGGGAAGAGATGCATGGGTGTCTCAAAGCCTCATGGTACGGAGGTTATGTCGTCCGCGGAGTCAGGGCCAACTTCGCCTCCCTTCACAGCGAATGCCAGAGTTTCTCGGCAAGATGCCACTGCAGCCTGCGCTGCAGGTTATTGGCAAATATGTCCTCATAAAGTGTAGTATAGGATAGTATAGGCATGCATAGGCACAGGTGTCTAACAGAGACGCTATTGTTGGTGGCGTATAGAGTCATCTCTGCAAGAGAACACTCTACTGAAACAACAGGCAAACAGTATGCAATTCCATGCTTGTGGAGCATCATCACGGGGCATTTGGCTTGCTTCCCGCATCTGCTTTGATGCCAACAGGCCTTGGAGAGCTCAGTCGTGCAGGAGGAGCTGGAGGCCTTGACCCGAGACCATGAAGGCCGGACGCCATCAGCCTTGAGACCTCTCTTTCGCAGAAGGGCAATGGGAGTTCAGCTAAGCAATGATGAATGATGCTGTCGTCTTGGCTTGAGGCTTGATTCGATGCGTGGCTGCATCATCAGCATGACTGGACTTGCAGAAGAGTGACAATGTGATGGGCGGCACTGGACTTCAAAATTGTTGTCTGACTGGTGTTGCGATACTGCTGACAGCCTTGTAAACGCCTCCGACTAGGATTTTCACGGCCCACCGCCCATTTCTGACGCAATTTCGAGAAACCCAGGCTTTGGTGGCAAGTACAGTGACTTCGATCCGTTGGGGAAGCAGGCATTCTTAGACCAGGTCGCCCTCATCCAGGAAGAACTTGCTGTGGGATGCTATGGGTGGGGCAATCGCTTAGAACTAAGATTTTGCAAGAAGATAACAAGGACTGAAGTTGCGCGGTCAAAGGGGGATTCTGCATAGGACCGATGGCGAGTCTTCATGGGCCGCTTCCAGCTGATGGGCGCATCCTGGCATCACAGTTGGAAATGGTCAGACATGAGGCCCTTTCAAGGCTTGGGCAAGCGTGATAAGTCTTCCATCAATGCAAGCATTCGTTGCATCTTTAAAAACAGTGTCAACCGCATGCGGCAGTCATAAGATTGAAATCTCAACCCTCATGCAGCAATTCAGGAACTCAATCCTGACTATGTGGCAGAAGCTGAACGTTACTTGCAGAGTGCTGCTTGACATTATGACGGCCCTTGAGGCTTCCGACATGTCGGTATTGTAGCAGCAGAAGTTGACTGACTGCTGGTGGTTTTTGAGCGCGTGGCATCCAAGGCGGGCATGTCTATAGAGCAATTTCATGAACTTCTCCAAGCGGCACATGACAAGATGAGGGCAGACGCTGAGCAAGAAGGTCTCCAGCGATGATGGGCTCCATTTGCAATCGTGCGGGCAGCCCTCAGACCCCACCGGAAGGTACTACAAGCAGCAGCTGGCTTTTCTGCATGAGGAGTGAGGTGCTGGACGTGAACTCGAAGACACCCGCGGCAAGCTTGATCCATGTGGCCCCCAGCTTGAAGGTACAAACCGAGCGGCCGCAGGAGGCGTTGCACATGCCGCCGCGCGTGCAAAAAAAGACAGCCCAGCCAGCCTTTTGGTGTTTGCTCCTGGTGCTTCTGCATGGGGCACCAGCCTGCAAAGTAGCACGGTCAGAAAGCAAACCAACCTGGAGTTTCATGGAAGATCTTGGCAGGTTGTGGTGGTCCTACAAATCCTGGCGCTGTTGAGCGTCGCCCTCTGAATTGCAGGCCTGGAAGTGAGCCACTCTGACCATGATCGGTTCACATGAACCGGCGCAGCAGTCTGCGCACCTGGGATCAGAAAGTGCAGAAGTTTTTTTTTTGATGGCCTCGGCCTACTTGACGGGCCGTTGGAGTGCATATGGCTAGTTGTTCAGCCGCGGACAGAGGAGCTGCAGGCAACGAAGCTGCTATAAGGCTTGACTTGCGTTGCCGTAGAATCACAGAATCACAGGTTGGGTCAGTGACCAGATTGAACTGAGCTGCTTTGTCCTGCTCAGAGTGGGCGGCTGACCGGACAGGCGAAACTCATTACGACATTCAACAACACCAGATGCTTCAGCGAAGAGGTTGTGGTCTCTGCCATGGCTGGATTTGTGCCTGGCCTGAGACACCTACACTCCAGTCGCGGAGTTAATTCTCTTTGATAATGTCAGAAGGTGCTTTTGTCATCTAGGTTTCTTTCACAAGCACCGGTGCTCTGACGAAGCCCGGCTGTAATTCACTAGAACTGTGGCTCTGTCATGCGCCAAGTTCCGGGCAAGTTTCGGGCCCGTGTACAGACAGCAGTGGGGGCACATAGTTAGACATACCGTCAGCATGAATGACAGCCTCACCTGGCTATCAAGGTGCTAAGGGCAGGTTAGTTTCAAGGCCTTCTCTTGACCTGTCTCTGACATGATGGGCCCATCTCCTTAGCCTTAGAAGGTGCTTGCTTGAGTGCAATGTGCGTGCTTAGAGTGAGGTTCTTTGCATTGATGGCTATGGTCAGCTGTATGCTGCGGTTTACTGACAACTTGCCTTTTTAAGCAAAGGATACCCTCATGAGGTTGTCACATGCTGCTAGAGCCTTAGAGATGAGAAGGTAAATTTCAAGCGCCACTTTCAACGTGTCAGGTCCCTGGGCAGCATAGGTCAGACTAGGTCAGCATAGTTCTTTTGTCAGTCATCCGCCAGCGATGGCGCATGAGCAAAGTACTCTGACCATGCCATGCTGGACTGCAACTCCTGCGGAATCCGCACTGTGCCTGGTTGGGCTCCGCTCCCTTTTTGCAGGGCTGCAAAGGGTTCTTGTTGAGTAGTCAGACATCATTGAACCCGAGACCGAAGCCGCAACAGGCCACGTGATTTTGGCTGTTTGCCGAAATGTCTCACAGATATCGCATGCTGAGGGCAGTTGCAAACGCTGGCCTGTGCTGCAGGATGTTATCGTTTTCAGTGATGCCAGGCAAATCTGCTGAGATTGCTGCTTCCAATGCGTCAGGGAAGCCAACGACTTCAGCTGCGTTGTTTGCATTGACATCTACGACCGTGGTTTCCTTACAGCCAGATGTGATGTCTGCATCATATTTGTCAAAGCTCGTGCCACCTGCTCAAATACCATGTAGCCTGCATGTAGCCGTGGCACTGCAAAAAGGTGGACGGTCGCAAGAATTCCAGTGAATTCCTAGGTACTTGTAGGAAGTCGTGGATTTCAGCAGTGTTTTGTTGAGTATTTGTTTCACACCTGCAAGATCCAAGTCTGAGCCGGGCTGTTCAATGAGGCGATGCGATCAATGGAACTGACACCTTCATGTGTCGCAGCTTGGCTGAATAGCTCCTCAAAGGAAGGGATGAAACAGACACTGAAGTTGATCAGGTGGCCATGTGCCCATTCGAAGTGCATGGGAGGCATGATCTGCGCACCGAACATATCTGCCCTGCACGATGTGGTGTTTATCGCTCTTGAAGCAGGAAGGTCCGCCCTGTTTTGAATGCAGGCGGCCAACAAGGGACGCAGCTTAGTTTCACCCCAGTGGGTGAATTTGGCGCAGGAAGCACAGACTTACTCTCGCATTCGCATCCAGAGTGGTCCTGGTGATCCTGTCCTAGGCCTTCAGTTGGTGGACGCTTGCAGGTGGGATTCTCCACCAACTCGTCGAAGGACGACTTCTCAGTAGCATGACATCCACCAGCATCCAGCTTCAAATCAAGAAATTTCCGTCAGGGTGCCACAAGACATCACAAGACCTTGCAGGATCAAATTATCGTGCACATCATGAATGCAGAGAAGCTCCCTGGGCGTTTGGAGCCTACACTTCAAATATGGGATATGCTAAGCAAAGCCCTCAATCCTAAAACCCTAACCCTAAACCCTACACGCGAGGCCAGACCTCTGGGCTTGCTGATCCGTCAGGACCTTGGCTCGACCGGGCGAAGCACGGAAGATATGGCTGTGGGAAGTAGCAATAGTAACAATACGCATGGTAATGATCATAGTAGTGGTAATAGCAACAGAAATAGTATTACTAATGGTTATTATAGTGATCGTATGGAGGTGTTTCGTGGGTCTGTTGACACAAGTTCTTGGATGCACCTCTGAAGGTTCTTCAACTCCCAATTGGCTCATTTAAGCTGGCCATGTTCTTGGATGCACAAACTGCAGGTTCTGTGTTGTTCGACTTTCATTCGTCGGCCAGTTGGGTGAGCCAACGGACCAGGCAGGCCAAAGTGCTGCTAGTACTGTTAGTATTAGGGCTGTAGTATTAATACTATGATTATTACTATCATTATTATTTCTATTAATATTACTTATTGTTACCGTTCTTCTCCTTATTATTACTACTGCAGAGTTTCCAGTGGGACACGCCACGGAGGCTTCAGTGAATCTGCCATTTGTCCTTGCCTAAGAGCATGGGTGCTGGTGAACAGCGGCCGTGCAAGCTACGCGTGGCTTCTGACATTTGTGTTGTTCACGTGCGGTATTGGCGGCCATCACAAGCCTCATTGTAGAGACCACCACAGTTCTGGAACCTGCTACAAAGTTGTGAGAATGTATATAGCCATTGCGACAACTTCATGAACAAAGACGCATCTTCATGAGATTCACGGCATGATCCTTTGGAAGCACGCTGAAACGTTGAACCGCATCTTCAAAGTCATGAAGAGAGAGACGATGGCTTTGCTGTTTCTCGTCTGATGTAGCTATTCGCTTCATTTCCTCTTCCCAGCGAGCCTCAATCTCATGGGAGGAAATTTTGCTTGGTAGGCAGCGATCTGAAACTGCGAGGGCACAAAGGATATCTACACTGGGTAGAATCTCACCCTCAAAGTGGCGCAGCCAGAGTTCTGGAAAGTCCCGGAACGCTGTGCAAATAGCTCCTTGCTGGTCCCTGCTGCCAAGCTTCAGCATCCAGATGAACCGGGATAAGAACGTCGGTGAAACCGGGCTCTGGTGTTCCAATCCAGTCCTTTGGTGCAAGTTCCATTGTGTCTGCATTATGCGGTTTGCTCATCTGCAGCTCCAACACACACTGTCGGGCTGCATGATACAGATGTTATTCTGAAAGGCGAGCCCAGTGCTGCGGGCGTGACTGCAAGCCAGATACCACAGCCGCTTTTGAACAGCCACCCCGCAACAAGGTTACTACGCCTGCTGGCGAGCTGAGAGACAGCGCGGAGAGCCTGTACTTTGAGCATGAGGACAAGCTCGTTGCCGTTGTTGTCTCAATTAACTGCATGCTGTCAGCAATGCTGGAAGCAGTTGGGGCCTAATGTTTACATGCTGCAGTCTCTGCTAGGTGAGTTAGACAGACTTGCATGATCAAGGGCCTCTTACTCCACATATCTGGCAGCAAGCGCCCCGAAGATGTGAAACAATCATGATGGAGGAAGTCCTGGAGCTGCCTGGGGTTGGTTTCTTAGTCTTCTTTGCTCACATGGCGTTGTGCCAGCTGTGGAGGTCAGAGCAGGCATCGAGGTTCCATGGGAGGTGCTGACATGTGCGGCTCACAGGCCTTGCCTTGACGTAGCTGGATCTGCTGAGGCATTCTCAGAAGGCATGGTCGCAGTGGGCAGC